CCCGGAGTCCGGAAACAGTGGAATGGAACTTTTATGAAGTATGACAGCTTCCACTAAAACAAAAATTAATAAAACGAACTGTAAAAATAATGACGGAGTTGACTTGATGAAGGACAATGATAATTACCAAGACTGGATCCAGGCCAGGAACCGTGTCTCATCACCAGAGTAAATGCTGCCACCAGCATGGTTTTAAAGAATCCCAGCGATCAGGGGGAATCGGCCGAAGAGTCTAGCGCAAACAGTGACAGAGACATCTCTTCGGATGGGAGGTAGGAGACTGTGGAGAAGACCAAGGTGGTCACCGGTAAGTGGAGATAGAGGTAAAAAGGGTAAGGAAGGTACCTCCTATCAGAGTAAGGATGTCTCAGCCAGAGAAGGGATGAATCACAAGAGATGTGAGAAGTGCACTAGGGCACTGATGGTGATAAACCTACTGGGCCAGGGGTAAAAATCCTTAAGATGCCCTTTAAGATGCCCATGGAAGGGCCTCAGGAATCAATAAAAGGGGCACGGGAAGAGCCGGCCGCCTTAATAAAAGGAGTGTTGCTGCAATGATGCAGTTATTCTTTCAACTGGATAAGTTTCTTGTCCCTGAGGCCAATGAATGTAAAATAAATCTAATCGAAGAACTGGTCATCAGGACAAAAGAAATAATCTTGGTTAAGGAACCGGTGGAGCCTGCCGCTATCCCTATCGGAGCGGCACCTAGAAGAGAAAACAATAATAGTAACAAAAGAAAATATGCGTTCACCTTCCTTTCTCTGGTAACAATGGCTGAGAAGGACAGGAGGGAGTATACAGGAAATAACAGCACCGAAGGACAATGGTCTACGGAGGATAGCAGGCCAAAGAAAGGATCCGTTAGATCCACCCCACTGATGGAGGTTCCTACCTTAAAATCAGTGCGAAAAAGAAGACATGTCCACCACCGATGTAAGAGAATTTAAAGCCTTTGTGATCAAATTGCATATTTTGTAAAGGATGCGCTACAAGGATGCGACATGGATAGCTTGTTAGTTTACCTAACAAGGCCGAGGAAGTCACACAAAGATCAGATATAAGATCTGGAAATGGTGGAACAAATACAAACAGTCATTTAATAACTGCAAAGAAGCCAAGAAGAAAAATGGGGAACTCAAGGAGGAACTAGTCAAACTCCGGAAGCAACTTGCTTTCGGACAGAAGCCAAATAATAAAGAGACACAAAAAACTATGCCTAAACAGGTGATCAGTAAAATCCGGCTCAATCGTACGCGACTGTGGCCAAAACAAAAAACAGATCATTCAAAAGAGACCGGTATGTCACATCGTAATCGTCTTCCCGAATAACAGTGAGAAAAATAGTGAAGCAACGAGAAAGCAGTGAGCAGTGAGAAACCGCAGATTAAAGCAATCAGGAAAATTAACAAAGGAGGCATTCTCATCGAGACCGCAACGAAAGATGACTTCCAAAAGCTTATTAAGAGCGAAAAGACAACAGAGAAGGGACTGAAGGTCTGCATCCCAACAAATGAAAAACCAAAAATGGTTATATATAACGTTCCGGAACTAACTGACGAAGAGCTGCTCGCAGCTACCACAAAACAAAATAGCGACACTATATCGCCAGAAACGATAAATGGCATAAAACCCCCGTTTAAGACAGGGAAAGAGAAAGTTAAAAACTGGATGATGGAAACCACACCGAGAATTAGAGAAGTAAGGAAATAAGGAACAAATGGAAGGCTGTTCCTAGAGTGACACGTCTATCACATACGTGATTACGTATGTTTTCCAAGAGATTTGGTACTCCTTATAGGATGGGTTCCCATAATGAAAAAAAATTTCGAAGAACACCAGCTAATTGGATAATAGAACTCCCAGCGACAGGGGAAGACCCGAGGACATGGGTAGATTTTAAAGTAAATAAGTTACAGGAAGCATACAAGCAGACATGGGCTCCGTTACCTACCCACTTAAGGAACAAACCTATCAGTCTGTGGTGGAACAATAATATAGCGAAGGCTCACAAAATAGCGAATTCCTACAAAAGGATCCTCCCAAATGCTAAGACGAAGAAAAATCACAAAGCATTTATCAGTCAAATTCACCAAAGGTATAAAGCAGCTAAAAAGAAGTTACAAATCATGATTCTGATCACGAAAAGTCTGTTCCCACCGTCTGCCGCTCAAGTGTTAAGATTGAAGGAAGCTGAGGCCCAAATGGAGGATATGTTCTGTACCGTATCAGCTACCAGTATTGACGCTGGACACGGACCATATCAAGGAGTTGATTAGCAAGATTGGTCTTACGAACGCACCAGGCCCCGATAAGTTCACAGGAGGAGCTTCCAAACTAGTACCCGGCGCATCCCCTGCGACGGTCGCGTCTTTGTTTACGGTCTGTACCACACAGGGCATCTACCCTAGCATGTGGAAGAACGCCAACTTACTGTTAATACCTAGAGGGGTATACAGGTGCACAGCTTCATTCTGGCACAGCCAACCTCTCCTTCACGTGGTGTACCCTGGGAAACTTTCGAGTTTGCCAACGAGGCTCTGACGCGACTCTCCTGCGAGCGTCCGGGCGGTATTTATACCATACGGATCGCGGTGTCGTCTAATACCGTAGCCGGTATGTCTAGCAACGACCCACCGGGGACATCCACCCGGTGGTACGCGAAGCATAACCGGTCGGGGGGCTTGCCTTAACCGGCCGGACCGCGAGGAGATAAACCTCTCTAATAAATCCGAAACCTTAAGTTATGGTGCGCGGCGAAGGGGTGCGGGCCGTCCTTGTGATGGTCTGTGGCTGGTGGGTGCACCAACCCTTAGCGACCAACCTCGAGGCACCTGGCGAACCTCGTTGTATTTAGCCTTCCCTCCTGGAAAGGGCGTCACCCGGGAGGGCGACTTCATTTCGTCCCAACTCGTGGGAACAATTATGGGCAAATCGAAAAATAAAACTAAAAATCAAAGATGTAAGCAGGAGAACACTAGCGAGAGTGGCGCTAGTGTTAGTGTAAAAGAAGCATTCGTGCTTATTGAGGAATTACACGACAAAGAAAGGAAAGAGGTGAGAAAGGCAGGAAACGCTGCCTACAGAAAAGCGAAGTCGAAGTAGGGAGCGATTCGGACGAGGAATGTCCGTCCAAAAAGCTGTTAACAGATTTTTGGCCTTCACTCCCGATTCCGACTTCGCCCCCGATTCCGCAGCAAAGAGATACAAAGGAGGTTCTCTCCGAAGGTGAAATTGAGTACCGAGAGTACAAGAACAGAGGAAAAAGGCAAGGAGGAGGCAATATAATTGCCTTCCTAGAGTATTGCGAGGAAATCGCATACCACTTAAAGTTCGGGTTTGAAAAAGTAGGTCTCGACCATGCCCATTTCAAACACCTCATTAAGAAAACAGACAAAGCATACGAGAATGAAACGGCTATAAGAGCGAAACGAAAGGCTCAACTTGTTGAACAAGGGGAGGAAATAACTAACCTCGAAAAGAGTAACGATGGAATTACAAAGGCAAACCTAGAACTGAAAAAGGAAAACGAGAACCTCAAGGAGGAACTCGCTAAACTTCGGAAGCAACCTGCCTCCGAAGTCACGAACAACAAAGAAAGGAAACAGGCAAAGAAACCGATGGTCCAGTCGTACGCGACTGCGGCCAAAAAGAACATAGCGAAACCAAAGGGAGCGGTGAGACACGTCGTCACCGTGTACCTTCAAGACGAATGCAACAAAGACAGCGAAGCGACGAAAGTTGCTTTGCAAAAATGCTTTGACCCCAACAGGGATAAGTTGAGGGTTAAAGCAATAAGAAAGATAAATAAAGGAGGCATCCTCGTCGGAACGGCGACGAAGGATGACCTCCAGAAGCTCATCAAGAGCGATAAAGCGAACAAAAAGGGACTGAAGGTGACAGTCCCTACAAAGAAGAGACCGAAAATGATCGTGTACAACGTACCGGATTAAACGAAGGAAGAGCTGCTTGTAGCTCTTAAATCACAGAATAAGGAATTGCCCACAGAGGCAACAGAGGATATAAAACCCCTGTTCAAAACAGGAAAGGGGAAGAATTGGGTGGTGAAAACATCACCCAAAACAAGAGAGACACTACTGAATAAAGGCAGACTGTTCCTCGGATGGCACACCTGTCGCGTACGTGATTACGTCGTGGCCACATAGCCAAATACTGCTGGGCAAAGGTCGACACCTGCGGGCATTGTGCTGAAGAGGGACACTGCTACAAAGAGTGTCCAAATAAGGAAAGAGGACCCTCTTGCATAAATTGCAAGAGGACAAAGCGTCCACATAAACACTAATCCAGAAAGGATGAGTGTCCTGCCTACAAGAAGGCAATAGAGACCCTAGTCTCGAAGACAGACTACGGGGACTAAAATACCGAAAGATGGTGAGACGCCACCCGAACGACGGCGCGGGCATAACGACCTCACGGAAGTTATGTGTCGAGAGTTGCAACAAGTTGCGATCAAAACTCTTACAGAAGCTTGTCCTGTAAGATCCTACAGGTGAAGGAGAGGTTATTCCAAACACAGGCATCGTACAGGCGCCGGCTGTACGGTGCTCCCTTGGCGGGGGTTCCGCCAAGGAAGTGGAGGCCCATCAGGCTTCTCGTTATGACTGTGTCATATGCAGATATGAGTTAATCTCGAGGTGCGGTATGCCCAACTTTTGGGCAACGAAATACCTTCTGTTAATATCTAGACTAACAGACAGGCGAAGTCAAGAAATACAAACCATTGTCCGTAATGGCTAAAGCTTTCAGACACCTAATGAAGGCTTAACATGTTCGTCGCCGCGTCCGGGCCCCGTCACCCAAATATGCGTGACGCTCTTCTCGTTCAAGTTAATAGGATTTTCAATTGGGTTTTTAAAAGGAATTTAATGGAATAAGTACTGACATATAAATATAGGATATACGACATAAAAATATTAAAAATATATACATAATACTGTACTTTTTATTAATTTATATTTTTGATAAAATATTACATTATACTATGTCACGTGGTATTCTTTGAAACATTTTAAACACACTTGAGGTGTGTTTGGACAATTGGAACCATAGGTCGTAATTTTTTTGACATTTTTCCTCGCTTCTTTGCGTTCGACAGTTTGCCTATTCCTCTGGTAACATAGGGCGCACGTCCTTCTTATAGGCTTGTCCTGCTGATTCTTACGAATCTCCAAATAATGCGACATTTTCTTTGTTTTGTTTTTATTATTGTCAGGCATAGTATTTTCCGAAGACAACCATTCGGTAACGAGAAGTTCTCGAAATTTTCTTATTTTTATTTTTTTATTTGTGGCTCTCTGGTACACGATATGAGCATTTACTATAGTTGTTCTCAAGAGTAAATGCAGGGCTAATTTCCGATACCACTTGATGCTTTTCCGTATCGTTGTGGCATATGACACCATCTGATCACTCCTGTCGATACCAGTTTTTCCATTATTATACGCTATTATCACCAAAGGTTCCGGTTTTAGAGGACGACCGCGATGTGTAGAATTCGAGCTTGAAGTCATAATGGGTGCATGTTTTGTCGATAATATTCTAACATCGCGAACATCTTTCCATTTTAGCACCACAATACCGTTGTCATCTTCTCGTACTATCATTTCACCTTTCTTGAATGGGTACGACATTACAAAATTTGGCATAGATTTTTTGTCATACCGCACAGTTCCAACGACATGCGTCTTCAAATTTAAAAATTTAATTGCGAACTCATAGCTTGTGTAAAAGTTGTCGACAAACAAAGTTCGTCCTTCATTTAATAATTTATCTGCAAGTTGAATGCAAACGTCTTCGACTATGCCAACATGCTTGCTTCCGCTGGTATCTTGTCCAGAATATACTTTTGCAGACCACGTATACCCTTCGGTGGAGCACAATTTGAATAGCTTTATACCATACTTATGCGATTTTGTTGGTGTGTATTGCCTAAATATTAGTCGTCACCTCCAAGGAACCATTGCCTCGTCGATTACAATATGTTGATCTGGTGAAAAGACTTTTTGGTAATTGTCTGTCAATATGTTTATAAGTGGTCAAACTTTTCCAAGTCTACTATTCTGTTCTATCGTTTCGTTATTTGCAAAATACAAGTTTACTAATAATAATTAAAAACGATTCAAACGATAAATTTTGTAATTTCTTCGGAAATGGTGAGTTTCTATCTGCTCTGTCGAGCATGATCGGTCATTTCACGTTGATGCAACTTTCGCTCTGCATATCTATTAGTCTCTGTGACTAAAAGGCTTATCACTTTTTCATCTAAGAATAGTCAAAGCACTTCACTTGCGCTAATATCAAATGGCAAATTCATTAGAAACCCACTTTTTCCGGTAAACAGAAATGACTGTTACCTGTTAGCGAATTCCTTCCACAGAACATTGTCCAATGAATTATCAACAGAGTTCAGTTCCTCTTCTTCGTCTAAAGCAAGTTCCTCCAACATATCGTCAAGATCTTCACTTGCATATGGTTCCTCCATATCCAAGTCTGAACCCGATGAAACTTTATTTATAACTCTTCTTCTAAAACTCACTACTTCGCCATCACTACTTTTCTCACTTTCAATTGCACTTTTACGCCGTCCAGTGAACATTTTGAGGATAAAAAAATCACTGATGTGCGTCTGAAAAAAAGTATGCTTCTTGACTGAATGAAGGATTGGAATAACTGCAGTGAGATCCCTCGCAGACCTCTAGCCGAAAAGATTATCGCTTTCCCCATTGCCGAACTAAACACTGTATCTTTTATAATGAAAAGGCACGGGCCTACTCGAGTTGCGTCGTTGCTATTCCCGCTTATCTCTCTGTTTATTTTCTGGCGCACCGACAGTCAGATTTGGGCCTCGCAAGAAACTCGGCCGAATCGCGCTGGGCGACGAACATGTTAATAAAGCGTTGGTCCAGGACCCCTTCTCAAAGAGGCAATATGGCTTCTGATCTGACAGATCCACTTTACAAGCACTAGACCAGATTATTTTTTTATGGAATGAAGCCAAGAGAAGAGGAGCGCACTGCTTATTAGTCTCCCTGGGCGTTAAGAACGCATTCAACATAATGACAAGGGAGCACACGATGAAGGCGGTGGATGGAAGATACTTCCCGTCCTAGATCAAAAGACTTCTCAAAGATCATCTATATGGTAGAACAATTACATACATAGTCACAGATAAAGGATCGTTTACCAAGGAAGTACATACCGGGGTCCCACGGGGGTCCCTAATTTGTCACCTCTTGTGAAACAAAAGACCAATACAGCGATAGAAATCGTTATGGAATGGATGAGCAATGCCGGTTTTGAGCTGGCTCACTATAAAACGAAAGCTGTACAGTTAACCGGGCGTAAAAACTACTCACCCTTGCGCATCAAGATGGGCCAAACAGAGATAAAAACCAAAAAATGTATTCTTTATCTGGGTCTCACGATACAGGGTGATCTTACTTTTGGAGAGTATATTGAAAAGGTCACCAAAAAGGCTGCATGGGTGTCTGATGCCTTAACCAGAATTATACCGAAAGCTGGAGACGACAGTTATAGCGCCAGAATTTGTTATTACAGAGTGGCAGAGGCGATACTCCTACACGTCTCCCCCATGTGGGATCAAGCTTCCGAGTTTGTGATTCCACTCAGGAAACTAGTTGCAGCCCAAAAATCGTTAGAGCTTATAGAACGGTGGCCACGGACGCACTCTGCGTACTCGCCGCAGTTCCTCCTATTAAATTGATCATGGCAGAAAGACAAAAAGCCTATAGGAGGAAATGGCCGAAGACGACGATTAGAGAGCCATATGAATTGAGATCTGGTCAAAAGGAGGAATTGAATAAACTGAAGGCCACGAAGGACAAGAAGATCACGCTTGTACAATGGCAACAATAATGGGATCGCTCCGTGTACGGGAGACGCATTTGGAAACTGACTCCCCGAATCGCTGAGTGGATCGACTGGGGACCAAAATTTATAACTTATCAGACAACTCAAATTCTGACGAGACATGGCTGCTTCCGCAGATACTTATTTAGGATTACCAGATCTCCTAAGTGCTGGTTCTGTCCATAGAACATCAATGATGCTAATCATACTTTGGTTCACTGTCCCAGATGGGCTTGCTACAGGGACCCGTTTGAGATAAAGTGAGGCAGGATCCAAGAAGACAAACTATTGACCGATCTCCGAGACTTCGAACAACCAAGGAAGGAATTCACATACATGGTGACTACCATTATTACAGAGAAAGAGGCCCACTAGAACAAAGTCGAGAGTCTAGTCTTCCACAGTTGGTCGGCGAAGTCCTGGGGCTTCTCATTAGGGAGCTGCTCCTTCCAATAGTGAACCCAGATGGGATGGATGTTGACCGGATAATCCACAGCTCTATCTCTGTCATCCAATCACTCGACGATGTCGGTGACGTCCTCGTCAGGGCGCACACTGTGACTGCAGCATACGATGATGATTCAGCTGTCCTTACTGGTGGGATGGAATCCACTGACCAATGGAGGAATCCATGGAGAATTTCATACCAAGCGTCGGACAGTAAACCAAAAAAGGAAACTGTATTGACGGTTCTCTTCTCGCTCGTGCCCGATCACGTCTCGACTTTTCGACTGACGTTTTGAGTGAGAATGAAAAACCTGGAATTTTTAGAAACAGTGTTTGAACCGTTTCCAACAGTACTGCAGTGCCAGACCGACTCGTAACGAGAGTGAAGCGAGCCCCAGCGATCCGTCAGGTTACAAAAATCAAATTAATACTCTGACTCCGCGATGTGCAGTGTATCAGATATTAGGCTGATAAGAACAGTAAACAGCCCATTATTTCCAAAACATGTTCCCCCGGCTTTACAATAAGTAGCCGGGGGTGTATACATCAGTGCGCCTTTACAGGAGAGTAAAATACAAAGAAAGAAAGAATGGGTTTACTGACCCCGTTCCCATTCGCTCCGGAGTGCGCCAAGGGTGCCCGATAAGCCCTGCGGCGTTCAACTTCGCCCTGGAACCAGTGTTGCATGCAGCTACCGGGACCACGGCAGGTGACACGCTGCATAACTATCGGTACAACGCCTTAGCCTACGCCAACGATCTGGCGTTGATCGCGGACACTTCGGAGGGGATGAAGGCATTACTTGAGGCAGTGAAGAACCCTCTGTTTTCCCGGGGAGAGTTTTTGTAAACTGAACGGTCGAGGGCTTCGGGGGGATCCGGAGACTCTTGGACCTGACATTGTTGTTAGGCACAAGCCCTCAAGGAGCATCATCATCGTTGGCGTCACCGTCAAGCCCCTGGCCAACGTTCTAGGAGGATTCGGTTATCGGATGGCGGTCTCCGCGATCGTCTGTTGTATGTCAGTAACAGGTACGCCTCGTCGATTCACCGGCTCTTTATGTCGGAAACTGTCTGATAGAGCCGGGACGTCTATGTGGAGCACGTCTCGGGAGCACGTTACCTTGCCCCAAAGAAAAACCGATCTCACGCTTCCTACAGGGGGGTCCCCTTCAGAAATGTCTGCAAAATCCAATGGTGCATAGCAAATTCGTGCAGCCCAGCCCAATTTTCATAGAAATGTAACAGAAGTGCGAACAAAGTATGCGCATCTACCGTTTTTAAAAATCTGATCACCATTTACAAGCATTTAATGACACGCAATGTTTAAAATTTTTATAGTTACATATTCGGGCAACTCTCCTCTATTTTTTACAGCAAATAAATATTAACTGTTTATCGTTTTTAGTTTTCACGTTACACTTGTTTCTTTGAAAAATTCGACCGCTTTTACAAGAACCCTTTTTTTCGAAAACTGGACGTGGCCCAGCAATTTGGTTTTCGGATTCGTAGTTAGGATAAGGAACTCTATAAGAATCACCTAGTGATTATTGCAAGACAAAAAAAGTTCAAATTTGTTCCACAGTGTAATTTAACACGTTGAACGCCGCACGATTTCATAGAGCAAAATACACAAAACGGAAAAAGTACAATATTAAATCATTTGACTAAATTGGATTATTATCATTGCACGTTCATCAAACTGAATGTCACCGTAATGGATGGCATTATTTATAATATAGAAATGTTTGTGAATAATCATCGTTTAATTGAGTGAATTATAGTAATTCGATTCGCTTGGAGGTCACTGGTGACCCTCATGGCATTCAACGTGTTAAATAAAAAATCAGCATTTAAAATTTCCTTGAATTTTTTAAAAATTGATTTCGTAGGGGTTTAAAACTTGGTAAAACGAGTTTTCTTTAAGAGATCTTGTTAAGAATACATACAATTAAGCAATAACCCTCACCGTCCCGTTTGCATTTCTATAGTCAAGGAACACTTGGTTTTACAACGATAGAGAAAAAGGCCCAGACACATTAAATAATAATAAAACCCTAACCATTCGACACACCATAAAAAACAAATTAAGACATTTTCAATACACAAAGGACGGCTTAGCTTCACGACACCCTAACGGTACTCCTCACTCCTACTGACGATACCTGATTTGACCTGTCCGACTTACCCTACAAGGCGTGACCACAAGACAGCAGATTCAACCTCCAACAATTTCATTAGACGAAAACATTTCCCACTTTCAACATGCACATGAAACAGTACACACCCTCATCTCCACAATTAGTATAAGACACGCTCGATTGTACAAATTAGTTAGAGTTTATCAAGACAGCGATATCACAGTATCATCATAGTATTAGGACAAGTGTTCTCAACAAGAAAATAAAGGGACACACAGTCCGATAAATCAAGCCAAGCCTTGTCAATTATTTAAAATTTACTCAGTACGCCAGTGTAACCAAGTTACAAAAAATATCTGGTCTTACAAACCAGATAGATAAAATAAACATCTTCTTTGGTCCATTGACCTATATTACACATTAACAGATCTATTCAATTATATATGTGAAGGTCGATTTAGTTTAGGAACAATAAAAAACATCAAAAATATGTACATTTTTATTTCCTCCTATCATTTTGATTTTTCACTTAACATTACTTTTTGTGTCCCATATAAATTATTTATTATCCTCCATTAAATTTCATCATTTATCAAAATATTAATGTGATGAATCATCTAAAATGTTCGTAAATATCAATCTATAGTCCATATATAACTTACATTTCCTGCGCCTTTTTCTTTTGCCTGGTATACATTAAATAAATATTAAATTCTACCTTTAAACTTGTTTTATAATTGTCTTTATACCCTCCTGACCTTGATTGCGTTTATCTTTCTTATAAATGCATTGTTTCTCCAAGTAATTTATCCTTTCACATATAAAACTGATTTCATTTCTATTGCATACTCTATTATTTCTTTGCATTGTTCTAAATATCTTTTGATCTTATCAGGCATTTGAGTTATTTTGTGTTCTGTCACCTTTTCCCCATCTTATATTACTTTCACCCTCTAATAGAATTTGTTCAGTCTTCTTATGTCATATATCTTTCTGTTTTTATAAGGCTTATAATCTTATCCAATTGAGGATTTATTCCTCACACTACATGGTATACAATTTCTTTCTCAAATATAACATGATCCAACAAGCACTTTTAAATAACAATGGTCTTGGTTATGACTAGAAATGTTTGTATGCATTCATTAGTTTCCATTTTTATATTTTTCAATTTGAACACTATATTTATCTTCCTATTATTTATATTTTTTGCTTAGAAGTGTTTTGAAGTCTGCTACATAATTTGTATACTTATTTCCTTTATAAATTATTCAGTTTGTGACTCTAACAAGGTTAATATTATTATTTTAAATACCTCGTGGTTTTTAACTTTCTGAACAGATCTAATTTTGGTCTTATTCATAATTAGTTGTGTATCTACCTGTGGTTCATTAGTTTCCATAACCTCGTCGTATAATTTCCTATCTTGCAACACTGTAATTTTCATTGTCATACACAATAATTATTTTCTTTTAGGGACTCGATTTTATTTTTTCAATTTAATTTTCAATTTTCCTGTTTCTGCTATGTTTTATTTTATATGCAATTTACATCTTTTATTTCGCCTACATCTAATTTTTTTCGAACACGTGCCCACAAGATTACAAACATAACGTATTAATAAAATATGCCACATAAACGAAATAGTGAATAAGACTCACTAAACTAAATAAAAAAACCTTAGTGAATATAAGTAGGTTGATATTAGAGATTTCAATTTCACGTGTATAAAGTACACGTTACACGAATCGTATTATCTATACCACAGACGAGGTGTCGTCGAGGTGACTCTAAGAGTGTGTTTCAAGGGAGGAAATTTCACTGGTTTTATAACACTAGTTTTTATTAAGTTGAACTGAGTACAATGTTGTAGCACAAACGTCTCAAGGTCGCTCGTCTAAAGAAAACTGCCTCCTCTTTTCCGTTTTTGTGATTTCCGTGATCAATACTATTATTCATCAATTAATAATTACATTTGTATTTTGTATTGTATTTCTAAGATTTTTCTTCACTGAAATTGTTGAAAGGAAACCTTATTGAAATTACCTTTACCTAATAGTACTATCATAATAATAAAATTTGGTTATTTATTAATTATAAATTACGAAGGATTAATTTTATGAAGATTAATGAAAGATAGAAGCACATGTTATTAAAAATTTATATGAGTTGCACATGTTGGTTATTTATTATTGCCGTTTATCGTTTATTATTTCTCCAACGTTTGTAATTATGCAAAGTGACAATCGAAATCTCAGATTTCCTACCGAAAGTAT